TTTCATGACAGATGTATAAAATATGCCAACTATACAAGAAATATTTATTAAAAGGATTTTGTTTTCTTTCTCTCTTTTTTTTTTTTTTTTTTTTTTTTTTTTTTTTTTGTCAATTTTACTAGATCGTGTTTTGTTTTAATATATTTCATCTACTATGAATTCATTTAATTAAGTCATAGAAAAATGTTTTTTCAGCATTGAACCAACTTCTGTTCGCAACCACTAACCAATTTCTGCAGTTAGTTCCTTGGCTAACAATATCTCCACCATTGCACACCAATAATCAATGACAAAGATGTATGTAATAGGAAATATAAGGAAGAAATAATGGCTATGATCTAGTTACTTTACGGTCGTAACAGTAGGGTAGATTCATTTAAGTTAGTAAACATTTAAATTGGTACTATATTACAAATGTCGCTATACTTCGATAGGTGGGCTAGGATTTCAACATTTCGTTGGAGTAATGAATTTTCGAATTTTTTTTTTATTATTATTTTAATGGAATTTACAACTGTATTACATAGAGAATACAATAAGTAAATGCGAAATTGGTAACATGGCATGTACAACATGAAGAGAAACTAGCCATTGGTAGAACTCAAATTACGAAATGTAAAGTTTTAAATCAAAAGAAAAGTGGGAGCATAGAACACTGTAGGATATGTGGTTGAATATAATATACTTATTTTTAAATTCTACTTTTATTTGCACTCTTTTTATGAAGAGGATAGCAATAAAATATCTTGGGAATAGTGGAGGAAGGTTTATGCGTCATCGGCCTTGGGTTGTATGGGCACCTCTGTTGAAGTATTGCGACTTCTGCAACTTTCCAGGTGGTTCTTTTCAATTAACGTCAAAGCATTTAGTAGTTTTAGTTGGATCACTGCTTTTGACATGAGCTTACCCAAAAATGATCAACAAATCCTCAATGAGTATTTTCAGTTGAAGTCGAAGTATTATTAGGTCACCACCGCCCAGAAGGGGGTTTTATCAATGGAAGATATCGCAACAAGTGTAATTGTATATGATCTACGATTTTTCTAATTCTACCTCAACTTGCTTTGTTTTTAAGAAAAGATGAGCAATAAAATGTCTTAGGAGGAAGGGAGAAGGCAAGTTCTTGCGCCATCGACCTTGAGGAAGATGGGCACCCCTGCCTCCGTCTATATACCGACACACTCGGAATCCCATTAAAGTGTGATCCTCTGATCTTGTCCCATTCATAAAAGCGGAGTAATACTTGTATAGTATCAACATATCTACATTACTATATTTTTGTGTATAATCCGAAAAACCTCTGGATCCTTAAAAATTTACGTCAGCTAAGTATGTTATAGATCAATGTATTATAAAAATTTATATTTTGAATTTTTTTTGTGCATGGACGTTTTGGCTTTTTTCAGGATAGTGTCGGCCTTAGGATAGAGCAAGTGAGGCGCCGATCTGGAAGGGCACTAGCTGGGGGCGTCACCGAATCATCATGGGCGCTTGAAACTGGGTACAAATTAAAAAAAAAAAAAATTACAAAACTTATTAAAATAACTTATTAAAATAGTCAAGAGTTCGCGTCCCGGTGCCAAGGCGTCTTTTAAATCCCCGCCCCCCCACACTCCCTGGCCCGGGAAAACCCCGTATAGCCTTAACAGCGAGGAAGGGAAGGACCCAAAAAAAAAAAGATATATGTTGAATGGTATACAATTCAAATACTACATAATATAAAACAACTTAAGAAATAAATATCTGAGGAAGCACTGTTACAAGGCCAACCATCCTGCAGTGAGTTGATCGGGTTTTTCCCTTTAATTAAGAGCACCCACTGGATAGAAGTCTGGTGTGCAGCAGTAGGGTAGCCAGACCCTAGAGTCCATCCACAGCTGATGAAAAATTACTAGTCCTCAACCAGATTCGAACCTAGGACTTTGAGCTAAATAAGTGCTCACCCACTCCCTTTCATACTTTGGAATAACTCCTTATTTGTGTTATCTCATCTATGATCACACTTCCTTTATAATTCGTTCTGTGGATAACATAAATGATTTTAATTCAGTAGTATTAATAAATAATTGATGGGGATATCAGTAAATAAATAGAACATCATTTAATTTTCTTATTTGTGTATTATACCAGTGACAGGACTGGGAGAGAAGCACTGGGATCTCCTGGGGTCCTGCCTTGGCTTCCACATTTGGGGGACAAAGCATGACTCAGAATCCTCTGGGTGAATGTAAATATTGTATATAGCTGTGAATGTGTTTTATATATTTTAATTTAATTTAGTTTCTCTCTATTTTTTTTTTTTTTTACATATGTATGTTAATTTCTTTATTTTACTTTCTACAACTCTTTTTATTTTATCTATATTTTAGTTAGCATTTGTATGTATATATTGTGTGAATGTAATGTAGCCCTAATATTATTGCCCTCGAATGCGGCAGAATGTATTAATTTCCAAATAATAAAAAAAAAAAAATTGTGTATTAAGTGATAAATGTGTGATGAGCAAATAAAATTTCTAAAGGAAGATGCTCTGGGACATAAATAGGCTAAATAGTGGCAAAACTATATTATTAAAAGCAATCGTTCGACCTTGAGTTCTAAGTGAAACTCCTAGCTGAACACACCTCCCTGAAGACCTGCAAAGTCGTGTCGAAACATTGGCTTTTAATAAAATATTTTTGCCACTATTTAGCCTATTTATGACCGCCACCCTGGACCATCTCCTTCCTTTATAATGCAATGGTCAACTATTTAATATTCAAAATTTCTAAATCTGTGCCTCCATTGATGTCTGTTCAAGGTGTCTGAAGTAAATGTCTAGGAATTTAATTGTTTAAAAAAAAATCATCCCATTTAATTGCATAGAAGCATAATAGCATTTAATTTATAAAATGCTACTCATGATTTTTTTTTTACTGAAATAATTCTGGTAAATAATGGGGAACAAAAAACTGATTTTTTTTTTAAATATTCCATTCCATTACAATGGATAAGTTTAGTTAGCAAGTACGGAGAGAGCAAAACCTTTTATACTAATTCATTTAAAAAATATATTTATTATTTACCATAAATATTAGGTACTAAACGTAAGGCTAATGAAGAACATCCTCATTTAATTCTTCTCTAAATTTTTGGTTGTCCTAAAAATAAACCAATTATTATCACTTGTTATATTTTTTGTCAGTTATATGGCTAGCAAATCCTATGTCATTAATGTTGGTGTAGCTTTGGTACTGAATAGAAATTAAAATATCAGCTAGAGGGGTTTCTGGTGACTTAGACAAAACCTACTATACGTGAGATACCCAGGATCTTAACATATAGATTGGTAACCCCCTAAGAGGATTAGGGAAGTCATTTACCTTGGATCTCAGCTGATTTCCAATTTTTTTAGAATGATCTTGGCTTCCAAACAAATCCTACTTAGACATTTATAGTCATATAGAAACTAAAATCAATAGATTATTGGATCTCACAATTCTTTACAGGTCATGGGGGCTTTTAACACAAACTCCATGGCTTTGGAAAAGACACCGATCCCACATATCCTAGCTGTGGGATCCCAGAGACTGCTTAGCATATTATCATGAACTGCACCACCTCTAAGTCGCTATGGGCCAAATTGCTGAAGGACACCTGTATCTATGTTATCAAAGAGAACAGTTTCCCTCAGCTGGACACACAAGAAAACTACTCGTACTAAAAAGAATTTGTGTACGGGTAGAAAGTAGGTCCAGCATACTTCAACTTCAGAAGAAGAGGACTGGCTCCTGGAAGACCAGGAGAAGTGAAATAAGAAGCACATAGAAACAGAAGAGCACACATATAAAAGCAAACAGTGTGATAATTATAATAAGAAAATTAGTTACATGCAGTAGGAAGTTGTGCAGTCATGTGTAACAATTCAGTTCTGCACAACTCGTATTGCTTCAATTGTATAGAAGAGCTTAAATAAATAAATCAGTCATATAAAAGACAATACTCCAAACTTTGCTTATCTCTATAGCATTTATATTACATTGAAAAAGTCTATGTTAATGCTGCCGATTGGTGGTTATTATCAAGAAGTTCCATTTCAAGAATCAATGTTTATATAAAATGTTTAGAGAAACTCCAGTGTCTGAGTTATTAATGTTGGACGGCTCTTTCGGGCTGGTAATACTGATAGGATTCCTGAGATTCTTTTTGGAAAGATGATATATTTCCCAATGCAAAATCCATCTTGGTAATCCATGTGTGGAGAGAAACCTGTTAAGAAATAAGATTTACAGAGCAGGTGGCCAGAGGAACTCATAATTAATTATGATTAATCGTCATTTGAGGTACATGAATGATTTAATTATCCAACTCTACTGCTTTATATACACATATTTTGTATGACTTAAATCTCTTTTCAGAGCAAATCTGTAAATCTTTTGAAGATCATAAGCCGAACAAGAGACATTCCTAATATTTAAAAATAAAATAAAATTTTTAAAAATTAGTATGTGCTAATTTTCATCCATGTGGTCAAACTTATCACTCACTCACTGATTTCATGCATCAAACATTAAATTTCAAGATTTTTGATATATATTTGAAGCTTTTAAAATTGTATTAATTGTAACATATATATGAAATCACAATGAATAATGATTGCATAGAATAATAGCTACGTATATTATGTAATATTTAAATATCACACATAAATATTGTCAGATTAGTTTATAATAGTTTATATTAGTGTATAATAATTAGTTTAATATGAAAGCAATTTGAAAATTCTCTTTGTTACCCGGAACGATGTCGATAAAGAAGATTTAAAATAAATCTTATGACTAAAGGAGTATAGTTAGTTGTAAAATTTTTAATTAGGGGTTTAGAAATGTCTGAATTCTTGCATTACTAACTAAAAAATTATGTTGTTTTTTTCCATGTTTAGAAAATAATTTTAAAGTTGATGAAATTTTACCTAAGAAGAGTCATTAACTGGACTCTATATTTCAATATATTTCTAAAAACGGATATAAATCTGAACAAATAGGTTAATTAATGATTTTAATACCTTCATATTTTTTATTGGGTTAAAATTCCCTGAAATAAAAAAATAATATTAAGAAAAGTAATGTTAAAAAAAAAAATAATATAATTATTAATTTCTATGAATCGACTATAGTAAAATAATACACTTAATCACTTTATTTATCATAAGCATAACATAACACCATAGTATGGTCTAATCCACAGCTGACTTTTCTGGCAAGAGCAGAAAATGCAACTTTATAAGGAAAGAATTGGTCTCGTTGGTGTCCAATACCTAAGCATCCATACCTATTACGACCCCAAATGTACAAATGACAGCAACTATTAATAGCAGCCAGGTGGCTAAGCCCACAGGAAATAGAGCATACTTTAACATCTGGCTGGTATACATTACAACCAAATAGAGTTTTGGGTATCATTACAGGATTATCTGATTTCTGTAACGCTGGACCGCAGCCTAAAATACCATATCCCCAAACGAACACTTCTCCAGATTCAGATAGTACTGCACAAAAAGAACCTCCTGCAGCAATATCAATAATTTTGCCAACACAACTGAGCTTCTTTAATAGAGCAGGACAATTGAGTTGATGAGTGTCCTTATCATCACTTAACTGTCCATATTCACTACTTCCCCAGCCAAACACTTCACCTTTACAATTTAATGCTAAAACAGTGTCACTTCGGGAAGCAATTTTAATTATTTTTTCGTCTTCCATTTCTCCCCGAATTTGAGTAGGCTGATAAATTATATCAGTATTACCCTGGCCAGTTTGACCATCAGCTCCCCAACCACATGCCCATACTTTTCCCTCAGTGGTTAGAAATAACGTATGATCTTGTCCACAAACAACATCACATATAGCTTCATTACCGAGACATGGTATCCTGTTAACCATACAGCTCCCATGCAATTTATCATCGGGTATTACCTCTCTTCCACATTGTCCATAGTTGTTAGATCCTAATAAAAATACCCCTTCTTTATCAGTCAAAACAGCTAAGTGGGCTCTACCTGCAGAAATGGCAATAACTTCAGTGCTGGGATTTTTCAAACCAATATTAATGGGTATAGGTTTCAGGATTATTTCCAAAGGTTTTTGTTGTGCTGAAAGATGATAGCCTATTTGAAAATCAGTATTTATTCCACAGCCATAAACCTTGGTGGTGTCTTTAGAAGAAACAGATATGGCTGTAAACCCATACCCTGAAGCCACATTAGTTACAGTTTTTTGTTCAGCAAAAGCATGTCTCACTGGTTTTAAAATAGACTTTTTCAACTTTTTACTTTGATCGTTATGCAGTCCCAGTGCTCCATGTTCTGATAGGCCAAAAGCATAAATTCTATAGCCGGTGTTTTGACATGCTTGGTTATGTGACCTTCTTCTCAGATAATTGACAAATGGGAAGCGAAAACAAAATATTATTTGACGGTGAGATTTAGATCTTAACAAAACACCAATATTACAAAATTCCATAACATACTAAACTTAATCCGAACGAAAACAAACAAGCAGGACCAAAACACATGTGATCACTTAATAGAATCGATTATCGACTAGGCGCGTCGTTCACGAAGCTGGGTTTAAGCTCATCGTTGTACTTTTGTTTTCATGTGTAGTGTTGTTAAAGCTTTTTTCAAGTTTTAAAAAAGTTGGAAATTGCATAAGTTGTGCTGTTAAATGTGCTATTTTTAAAATGGGGGATGAGAATGTACAAATTGTAAGAATTTGTTTTCGAATAGTTTTGTTGTGTAAATTAATAGTTAGTTTTATTTTTCATTCCATATATGTTTCTAATTCTCAGGAATGGGGAAGTGAGAAGTTAGTAAAAGCTCAGCAGACCATCGATGAAAATAAATGGGATATAGAAGCATGGGGAGTTCTCATAAGGGAAGCTCAAGGAAGATGGATTAATGATGTTAGACCATTTTTTGAAAGGCTTGTAGCCACTTTTCCTACTACAGGTCGTTATTGGAAAATATATATAGAACAAGAGGTAACCTTTATTTCATATTAAAAATGTTTTGTAATTAACACAGCAACAATATGTTACTTGATGATATAATTAATTGTCAAATTGTTAATTGTTATTCTTGAATATTTTTACAGATGAAAGGGCGAAACTTTGAACGTGTAGAAAAGGTATGTCCTGTTGTAACTAAAATATGCTGGATATATTTTCTAAATATAATCTTATTTTCTTGCAACAGCAGGAATTTTTTTTTATTTCATGGTGTTGTTAACACTTGGGAGGTGGTTTTATGTGATTACTAAAGTATATTTTTTATATTGAGATCGAGTTATATTTAGATATGGTAATAGAACATTAAATTGTAGGTTTTTAACCAAAGTTTATAAGATTATTATAAATAAATTGTATACTAAAATCACAGAAGGTCACTTTCTAAGTTATGAACCACTTTTGCCAAAAACTTTCCTATTCATCTTTTAAAAGTGCAGGCTGATTCTATTATGTTTTCACCAGGTAAAGTAGTTTTAAACCTTTGACGAAATAACTTTATTTTATTTAATAAAGGTTGTTTAAAATGTTTTTACTCTAATCGAAGTTTATAGAAGTAAAACGTATTAAGGTATTTGTGTATTTATAATTGTTTTTGAGAGTGTAGTATAATGTGATAATCATGGAAATAACGAAGATACCAATGTAATCTATGGAAACTACAGAAAGATCTTAATACTTTTGGATTACCTTATCTCACTTGAATTCGTAGCATAGTTCTGTATTAAGATGATTATAAGAATTTTTTATGGATATATCGGTTTTCCCTATACAATTAATTCCTATAGCAATTTTTATTTTGAAAAAATGAATTTTATTTGATAAAATTATTTAGTTATAAGGTTATAGTCAAAGTAACTAATGATGAGGTTATTCATAATTATGTTTATTGGCTATTATAATTTGTTTTGAACTATCGTAAATCCATTATATTACTATTAATCGTTATCGTATTCTCATTTAATAAGTGATGTGAATTAATTTTATTATAATATCGTTGATTTACTGAGTTATATTATGGTTCTTGTTTTATTTCTTCCAATTACTGATTTTTTTTTTTTTAATTTGGATGTTATAAATAATCGTGAAATTTATTCTAGTTTGTTGTTCGGGCTGGTACCATTCTGTTGATACACTTTCATTTATTTATTGATTAATGTTCATTTCCATGGAAACAATATTTTTAATGAATCTTTTATTATTAAAATTAAAAAATTGTCTAATAACTTTAATTTTACTTTGATACTGTAAAGGAACACTGGTATAAGATCAGTTGAAAACGTTTAAGCAGTGTTAATTTTTTTTTTTTTGAGAAATAATTAGGTTAAGGATTCGTTTAAAAAGATTTATGAATAACTTGGTTAATAATAGTAACTTTAACTTTTTAAAAGATTGACCTTCTAAAAACATTCAAGTCAGTAATGGTTCCGAAGTACTACTACTACGTAGCAGCTGATTACAAGATCATAATGTTGTAGATATTTTCCTGAGGAATGTTGAAAGTATCTGAGGATTAGCAGTCGTTTTCATGTGTAACGTTTTAACTTACACGAAATTTTTAGGTTAGGTTATATTATACATAGTGTAAGGTTTTTGGGATTATAAAAATTGCTTGCTTAAGATCAAAACACACTCCTAATTGGTTTTTATCAAGTGAGTTCGTTGTCTTACCAAGTATGGGTCTTTTAATTTCATTAATAAATACATTGGATACTTTATTTCTAAGGAAGGTTTTGGGTCTTCGCTGTCTGCTTTCGTACACACTCTTCTCCTTTTGGAATTCCATTAATAGTGTGATTGATGTGATCATTTATCCAGTTGCCGTCTTAGAGTCGCACCATTGATTACCTATCAATATATCGGGCATTTGCAGAATATTTTTGACTCTTTACCTTCGCTAGCGGTAGTTTGTAACTAAATTTATTTCGGATTGAAAAACAAGTGTGGTAGGAAGTGGAAAGAATATTACACAACTCTAGTTATGAAGTGCTCCTAGTGAAGAAGAATTACAATTATTTTTTATATTCTGAAAATTAAATTAGTGTTTATATTTTTAAAAATCTGAATATTCATTTCATATAAATTCATAAAGTGTTTACTGATCATCTGTTTTTATGTCATTTTTTTAAGGTTAATTGCTATTACTAAAAATAAATACATTATTAACAATACTGCACGTACTCTTGTACTTTTCTTTCTAAATCTTTTTAATAAAATATTATACTTATCTGTTTTTAATTTATTTATCTGGTTGTTTTTATTTTATATTCCAATTATTATTAAGAAAGGATTACACTTTTATAATATGTTTTAATTAAAGCTGGTTAATTTTTATTTTCTCTGGGCATAACATTTTTAGGCTTTTCATAGTGAGAAACATAATTTTACAGACATCTTCCATGTTAGTAAATGATTATTAACCTAGTGGAAAAGCATTTGGAAGTAAAATGGTAACTATATTGTCTTATAAATATTCATAAAGGTTAAAACTCATTTATTTCTATCAGTGGCTATATAATGGATTAGGGATTACTGATTTTTTAATACTCATAATGTACTTTATTATTTACTACATATTTTTATATAAATATAATAAAAATACTTTTGTCTGAATGTATTGAATAATGTGACTTCTGGTGGAAACATCTGTTTCTCAACCTTATAGTATTCTTGAGATATTATCACCACTGCAGTATTTTATGGAGATTGTATGATAGCTGTGCTCCCATTTTTATCTGACTGGTACGTACTGATCGTTTAATGGTTGAGCGAACTAGGCAATGTTTTGCTTTATACTCTAACCAATCTTATGCTTCTAGCATAGAAATATAAACTTTTAATATTATTTATTCTGATATTTTTATCGAGTGAGTACTGCGTTAACTAGTTATTTTCTTATATCAACTTTCAACATAATTTTATAAATTGAAATCATACTGAGAAGTAATGCTGTCATTGAACTAAATAAATAAATTATTTAATTTGAATAGATCATTTTTTTTATCTTTCTGTAGCTTTTTTTTTTTTTTTAATGAATTTTCATTTTCAATTACTTCTTTTGCTAATGGCTTATTTAATCTTACAACTGGAAAATACTTCTGCATAGTATCATCTAACTATGTTAAATAAATCACTGTGAGTTATATAATGTACCTAACAGAAAATTTATTCTAAATTGACAATATTAATTTTGAATAAAAGGTTAAAAAGGTGATTAATGGAGTTAAACTATGTATTCTTGACTTAGTGTTACCATGCAGATTCTCTCTTTATTTTATTAAAATTTTATAAGTTTATAGCATTGTTATTAACCGAGACTAGATTATTATTCATTAAAAACAAATATTATAAAACATGAAGAAAAAATTTTCATTGAGGAAGAGGGTTTCCAATCCGTGAGGTGTGTAGGTGCTGCATTCCGGTTTTCTTTCGGCATAAAAAAAACACACCACAGTTATTCAGTACTATACATTATACTCAATTATTTCGTCATTTTTCCTTTCACTTACTTATATATGCATTATACAGTATGTCCCATAAGTGTATATAAATAATAGTCCAATGTTCTACAAAAAAATTATGAAATTAAAGGTTTGTATGATTTACAATTTAAACTAGATAAAATTTATTTTAAAGTAGAGTAAATCATTGTTCAAAACAATTTAAAGAGGTCTTTCGACCGGAATCATGGTTCTGAATTATTGAAGGAAGTTATTTGACTGTTCTACATATCATAGATGATAAATGGTCAAAACACGGTCATTTTTAAGGTTTTTATTGGTGTGGACGTTTCAACCCAAGCACTTTGGTCATCATCAGGCAATTTTGAACACTGAACTAGTCCTGACTATTTATCACCTATGAGCATGGTTCTGTTTTTAAAAATTCATGAATTATTCATTTTTTTTTATCTCCCTTCAGCTGTTGTACAGATGCCCCACTTAAAAAAATACTTCCTTTAACTTTAGGTTTATTATGAAATACGTTCAGATTAACTTTTAAGTTGCATAAAAAAGTAGGTTGGATATTAACTTATTTCTTAATAAACCTCAACTTAATTAATGTGGACTTTAAACAATAAAAAAAGTAAGTTATAAATACCCCTGTTTTCAGCAAAAATTATTACAACGAATAATTCCTTCTTTAAAAAAAAAAAAAAAAAACTACTGGTTTATCTACTCAAAATACCTCTAAAAGGTTTTAGCAATGACAAACTCTACTTTCATTTGAAATAAATGTTGTCTAGTTTAGCGTGAAACAATAGTTAATTATTTAAATTAAATATTTTTTTAGTTAATGCTTACTATTCATCAAAAAATACCTGACTTAAAAAAACACAACTTGAATTTCCTATTTTTTTTTGTAGGAAATAGGAACATTGTTTATTTTGCATGTTGGCTAACCAGAAGTGGTACTAGGGTAAAAAGGCAGTGTACCAATATCATTCTGACATTCTCCTCGAAAAATGGGAATAAATTATTACTATTTCATTAATTTTTTGTTTCTATATTTTCTCCATGTATATTTGTCTGCTTTGCTTTAGTCTTGCCAGAAACCGTAATTGAAATGTGTGGAAAATTAGGAAGGTCGCTCACGGTCCAGTTAGATTTCCAGGAACAATCATCTATCAGTAAGGACACCATACCTTACATTAACCTTTTTATCTTTAACTTATATTATATACCGACTTGTTCAAATTATTTCATTTATTATAATTCACGTTTGTAGCAAGTCAGTTGGAAAAAAAAAAAATTTAATACTAGTTACACGGCGGTTTTGCCCGAATTAAATACATGAAAATGTAATTACCAAAACTGAATTATTAGCTTTACTTACTTTAATTACTGAGCATTTTTGATCTTGGCCATTTTCTCAGATAAAGCTGAGCGGCAATAGAATAATAATAATAATAATAATGCTTTATTTATTCTAGGACGAGTCTCTTTAGAATAATATAGAAAGACAATAATGTGGGCTAAGGAGCTTTAGAGATACATAAACAAAAATATAGAGTAATTAAATAGTCAAAATAAAAAAAATTACAAATTACTTACTAATTTAGATCAGTTAATAATAAAAAACAAAAAATTGAAAATAAACATGAAATAAAAATAATGAAGAA